GAAGCAGCGACTGCTGCTCCTGCTGTAGGCCCTGTTAATAGGCTAGCCACAGTAGTGGTCTCTGACTGGATAACCTGATTGGCCTGAATCTGATCATTCGAGACGCCCGATTCACTTGTGAAACTGCAAAAGCTGCCGCTACAGATTCCTGACGTGTTGCCTGATGGCATTGTCGAAAAACCTCCACTACTGGCATTGACAGGGACCTCAGCAATGTTTACGGCAGCTCCTGACACAGTAGCGGAGGACGAGGTGTTGGTTAGGAGACTTCCTGGCAATGAGGCCGCTGGTCCAAAAGCAGACAATGCTGTGGCGCGATCTATTGAGCTAGAATATGGACCTGATGAGGTGGCTGTTACCTCAAGGGCTCCAGCACCCCCTCCAGCAAACCGTGTGAATGGAGAAATCCCGGGCGAGTGGATGATACCCTCAGAAGCAGTAGCAGCATGGGATCCAGAGCCGGGAGAGGCAGAGGGACGATTGGTATTGGAGATAGCTTCATTGGTCGATGGATCCCAATATTCCAGGTCAAAGAGGAAAAGTGTAGCTGGAGGTGAAGTGGAAGGTAGAAGAGGCAACATGAAGCTAATTTAAATCTAGACAAAGACTTTGTCGAATGGACGCAGCTGAACCGGCAAGTGAATAAAATGAGGCTTATAAGTTTAAAGTCACATGCTTTTATACAATGGTGGCCATTCAGATAGTTTAAAAAGATGAAACTATATGAGAAGCGACAATTAGTTAGTCGGTTTAATATTGATCTAAAGAAAGTCTTATTTTTCAAATAAATTCTCTAATGTTCCAAATATTCATTACTGTACATTTATGATATGGAAGGCAATCAATGACATTTTAGTAGAGGTGATAAATGCCAATGAAAAGCTACCGGAAAAATCAGAGCTGGAAATAGAAAACATTCAAATAATCTTGGCGCATCTAGAACCCACACATAGCGACAATATAACCAAGATATATAGATAATTGAAAAAAAGGACCAAAAAGTCCTACAATCAGAAAAAGGTACCACAATGAAGATGAACAGGAAGGAATATACAGAGAAGATGGAAAATATTCTTGTGGACATTACAATGTATGGACTACTAACAAAAAATCAAACAGTTAAAATCAAAGGGGTACTTTAAGAAATACTGAAGGAAATGAATAGGAACGGGAAAATCGACAAATGAACAGTGAACTAATTCATACGAAGGGATGCAAGAGTGGCATACGTTTTACAGAGGGTACACAAAGGAGAAACATTGAGATTAATAATCCATAGCAAACATGGACTTACACAGAAATTAGCGAAATTTATCTGCCTCAAATTAAAGAAAGTGAATGACAGATTATCAAATACAGTGAAGAACTCATACGGATTTTGCCAAAAAATCAAAGGAGAAAAGTTGGAAGGAAACGAACTTTTGGTGAGCTTTGATGTACAGTCTATGTACACTAACATGACAGGAGAAGAAGCACCCACCGCACTACTGAAGATCTTAGGAAAATAAAATGACATCCTAGAGACAAAGCGAACGCGTAGAGTCCCTAAACCGATTAATCAACCTAACAATAAGAGCGACCTATTTCACGTTCAACGACCACATCTATGAGCAAAAATTTGGTCTTTTTATGGGCTCACCACTCTCACCTCTGTTGGCTAATGTCCTCATAGACAAGTTATATGATAATTTCAAAATGTCACCACAGCAATCAACAATAATTATGCGG